GTAAAATAATAATAACAAAAATAATCTGCCTGTTCCAGTTACCAACATAGAATGCGTAATCACAACTCGTTCGAAACTTTGTTCAATACCTGCAAAAAGCTAGATCCACTTTCCTCGGACAGTTCCCAAGTCCGAGTAAGATACCGTTTGTGTTGACCGAACATTGTTAACATCTTATCACGGAGTGAACCAGATTTGTTATTGTTATTGCTGATCGGGCAGAGCCGGTGGTATCGAATTTGGGACAACTCTTGATCTAGCATCTAAAAGCAAGTAGTTACGTAAGTGGAGCATGTCGATATCGAAATTCTGTTAACTACATGACTGGTACCCACAGCCACAGCGATGAACGGCTGGTGTCCGCAGCCATAGCGACGAACGGCGAGCATTGACAAGGCAGGAACGTTGGCAATTAATGGGAGGTGGGACTTAATTAGTACAATCTCCGTGGTGTGTTCCATTCCCGGCGTATCGCGTCTCGTGTCTACGTCCGCCTCTCATTGTACCCCTAAATGCTTGGCGTTCCAGCACGTTCCTCAGAAGAAGGTAATATCCCCCTGGAAGCCTTGGCTACGACTTCTTGCGGGACAACGTTACTGAAATACCGATTTAGATGCAAGCACGAACGGAAAAACGATGAAAAAACTTGTCCAGTTCAGAGGAAAGTTATTTTCAAAAGGAAATTACATCGAATGATTTGGAACTCGCTGGCCATCATGTTTATGCAGATTTACAGTTTGAAGGGCTAAATTGGCGACGGAAAGGAATTAAATGGAAACTTAGTACTTTGACAAATTGTTAGTAAAGAAAAAATATTAAATATATGTATAATTCGAGTCGCAATCTAATTTTATAGTCCATCTGTTGACTTTTCCTGTGAGAAAGGGACATTTATTTGTGAGTAAAACATTATTTATTCCATTTATAATTTTGTTAGGCTCCAAATATAGGGCATATGTCATTTCAGTTCTGTATCTTATTGAATTTTAGAGAAATATGTATGTGTATTTTCGATGGATAAATTTTGCGGTTTAATTATAATATGTATTACTATTTATAATAAGAAACGTGGGACCATGCGTTGAATTTGTAGGGCAGGCAAATGGAAAAATGAACAATTAATTGAAGGAAAGAAACAATATATAAATATAATCTATTTAAAATAAAATAACAGTGTACGTTTAAAAAATGTGAAAAATCGTCGATTTTTTGTTTTGCACATGTGATTGAGCATTCAAATGTTTAAAGCTTAAATTTCAATTTTGAACTATTTATATTTCTGAAAAGGATACCTCAATTTATAAAATGACAAGGGACTTATATTATTGGAACGCCCTGAAATATTGATTAAATTTTTTTAACTTTCTAAGGGGGAAGAAAAATGACTTGAAGAATATTATGGAGTCTAATTTTTCTCGACTGTTTAAAAATGCTAGTTGGTAAAGCTAAAATAAAAACTAAAAAGAATATCAATATTTTACATTGAAAATTATCATCGATAATCGAAGAGTAATAATAAAAGGCAAAAATAATCGAAATTACATTTAAGTAATTACCTAATATTTTTATTTCTTACTAATATTCTCGCGCGCAGGTCAGTTCATCGATTATGTGTCCATGTGACAAAAGTAGATAAAGTTCTGTATTGGTCCACTAGAACTATAGATTCAGATGGGAAATGCAGGGGGGTGATTGTATGTGCATATACGTCGGCGCGGAGTAAATAAATCTTTATTATGTCAGTGCTCTGATCGTGTACACCGCGCGGCTTCTGGACGTGTACATAACATTTGCAAATACGGCACTAACGTCAACGAGCACTCACGGTGTGCACTATATTAACGTGACAGGCTGAAACGTTAATCCAGATGCGTTGATAGCGTGAATTTATTAGCCAGCAAATTCATTATTGGTGAATACATGATTTGCAGTATGTCACGAAAATCACGAAAGCGAAGAATGGTCCCGCGATGTCTGTCGATATGGATATTAATTATATACATATTTTATTGATATCAATCCTCGCTCTAGTATCTATAACCACTTCATATGATTCTTGTGAATTGAAAGTAATTTAATATTACACAAAGTTTACAAACAACGGACACGAACAGTAAGTGAACTTGAATTAAAATAAACATTAATACTAGTCAAGACGGAAGATATTGTTTTGCTTAAAATAACATACGAACTTTTTTAATATTTACACAATCTATTGTCTTATTCATTTTGATATACTCGTGTATATTATAATTATAAATGTATTAAAATGTTCAGTTTGATTATTGTTTACATAAAATCAATTTCAGTGTTACATTTATAATGGATCATAAGAATTTACATATATTTATTACATTTTCAATGTGTAGAGAAAACGTGAACAATTACTATACAGTTGTCAGATGTATATTAAAGAGTAAAAAATTTGTTGTAATTTTCATCATTATTATATTTAAAATATTCAATTTTTGATAATTATTAAATGAATCTGTGTAGAATGTTGAAATATCTTGTTTGTTTAGAAAATTTGTAATTTAACACGTGAAATTACTATTTATTTATTTTTGTATGTTAAATGAACCGATAACAATTATATTACATAATGTTTTACATCATTTATATAAATAACTACCAAATATTTTGTTACTAAAAGCAAAGTATTAAATATTCTACTTTTAAAAATGAAAATGATAAAAAATGTTTAACCACTTCACGATCAAATATCCGAACACTATTCGATTTTTATGCTTGACTGTACGTCTCATCATGCTTAAGCGGATACATTAATGAAATTGGCAAATACGTGACGAGTAGTAAGAAATGTGTTGAATTTCGTTAAGAAACCCGACCGAAAAATAAAAGACGAAGGAAGTTGCGTACTCTTATGGAATAGGGGATCGAATTTTACGGGAAAAGGGGTGGATTATTCGTATCAGGAAGTTCGTTACGGGCTGATACGATGGTGAATCCTTTTTCACGCCGATCCGCTAATTGAACTAGTTTGGCAAGGTGTCTCGTTCTGGACTTTAGTAGTCCGATACCGTTGCACGGACGTGTAATGGCTGAACTGGCCGCTATTCCAATCGTCATAAATTGTCGCAGGGAACGTGACGATCGTACTGAGTAGCCAATAGATGCGCTCGCCTGTCATTTGACCCCTGTAGCTTCTCTTGGCGTTTCGCGCCCAACAATCCCCTCCGGTGGCTTTGACTACCGATTCGCATACACCAATGCATTTATCGAGCCGAATGATCGAATTTGTACAGTAGATTTCATTCATAACGTCCTCCTCTTTGATTCAATGCGAGATAATAAAAAAGGTATAATTGTAAGACTTTAAAGACTCGTGATATTTAAAACGTGAGATTCAATTTGTAAAATATGGTTAATCAACGTAGGTTTCAAATGAAACCATTCAACGAAAAATATAAATGTTCCTATATTTCTAACAAAAATTAAAACGTTCTCGTATTTATCCCAACTGTTCAACGTGTCTTTCTTAACACTAGGTATACAAACATTTATTGTACACTTTAACTCATTGTTCGCAGAAAAATAAAAGTTCGTTCATACAAATTTTGGAGCTTCAAAAATACATATTCTAATTCTCTGTGTTCGTATAATCAAATCAATCAAAGTCGACATAAACTTGCACCAAATAATGTTCATAAAACTCAATATCCATTAAATTGATGGATTCCGTAAATTTAGCGTTAAATTGAATACAAGTGTGATTTATACATAGATATGTACGACGTGTATCTACTAAATAATTTTTTTATATTAGTTATTTTGTATAAGCAGATAGTCTTAGATGAAAACATTTCTAAACTAACAATATTAAATTACAAGGCAGTTACACTATTTTTTAAATAATTAGTTTTAATCGCATTTAACTATTTTTTCTTAGATGGGAAAAGAAAATTATAGATCACTATTATTATTTATATCAATATTTCATCTACTAACGGTTATTTAACAACTTTTTAAAAATGTACAATTGATAACTAAAGATTCTTTAGTAAATTTTTCAATAAAAATAGCAATTGTAATCGTGAATCATCAAGTACTATAATATAATACAGTTATTTTTCTGACTTATTATTTAATGAAAAAATATTAACAAAAGTATCAAAAAGTCTGTTATTAAGCTTCCAGTAAATAAAGTGTTGAAATCACTTCGACAGATGAAATGAAAGGGATCAATTTCTCGCGAATTTTTGAAAGAAAGAATTTTTTCATTCATAAATGTCTATTGTAATAGCTAGGTTTCTCTCGCTTACAAGAACTCATAATATCTCGAGCCTGCAGAACTATTTGCAATAGTAGAAGCATACCACGACGAATCCGCATGCGTGAGAGCGAGTGAGCGAGCGAGCTACCGATTCAAATCGCGACAATGATGGCAATGCAAATCCGGTGGTAGCTGCATCATGAATAGCCCCGAGGTTTCCACGCATAGCTGGAATCACATCCACTCACAGCCAACCCACCCCCGTCGCTTCAGGTCCCTAGACTGTCAGTTATTTATTAGGGTGAACGCTCATACCGACTCTGCTGTCTCAACCTCATAAATCGAGTGTTTAACGCAGTTTTATTCTCCTAACCTCTCAACACTCCATCCTCTGTTCCTCTCGTGGCTGAAGCGCAAGGAGGAGCTGACGCGACGTTTCGAATGACAAATTGATAAATTTGATTAGCTTCTCTTGTGCGTCCTGCGTCCCAGCTGTCGAAATCTTAAAGAAATTCTTTAGATTCCTCGCGTGACGAATATTTCGCTGGCACGTAATTTCACGCGACAAATTGCGAAAACGGGACGGTTTCTTTGTAACCAAAGTGAAACGCAATAACGGACGAACTCTATTGGATCCTTTCCGGAACAGATAAAACGAGAATTTTAATGGAGCCCACCCTGTTAGGAATATTCGATTCAGGATTAAAATAAATAGAAACGGAAGTGAAAACGGAAATTTAAAGGAAACTAAAGTGGTCTGGCATTTGCTACCCTGCAGGAATATTTCTACTTGTGCGTTGAAAATGTAAATATAAACATTAAACTTTTCACGCGTCTACATACTTTTCGTACATTGAAAAGTATAAAGAGGAATAAGGTTGATGAAAAATGTATCATGTCATGTTATAAAAACTTTTATAGATAAAATAAGGATAAAATTCATAATTAGAACTATAATTATAATTCATTTTAAATGATTAATATCAAGCATACATAGGAATGTGTATGATTACTTTAATTTCAGAAATTTAAACTGTGTAATTTATTGTGTAATTTATTTAATTTTACTTTATAATTATTTAAATTTTATTCTTTTTTTCTTCTTTTGTTCTCATAATGTTTTATTTTAGTTTCTAAACTGTCACAAGTAACTCTCTTCATAAGTGGTTGATATACTTTAGACTGCACTCCTACCAATAAAGGATCACTTTGAAATGATAAATCTGTACGACTCATTGAATTTTCCAAATCTGACAACATATTCTCTATCATAACTGATTTTATTGTATTGATGGTCCAATCTTTTTGTAGAGTTTTTATTATATTTATTAATTCTTCTTTATCACTGTACCATTCATTATGCTCGTATTCACAATACCAAAGGTTTAATGGTAATTCATGAGCCAAATTGTATTGCGGTTTTCGAGGACAATTCACAATGTCTATAAGCTCCAGAATGACTTCTGGCTGTTCTTTTCCTTCACCAACAAGCAAAAGAATACCCATTAAACATCGAATTTGATGCCACAGAAATGCATGACTTTTTATATTCATTTCACATATATCATATGCTGAAACATTTCTAAAATTTGATGTATGGAGGAACACTTTTGCATCGAGCACTGTCCTTTTATAATTAATTACACCATTCGCAACATCCATTTTACAGATATTTCGGAAGTCATGCTCTCCTATAGTATATTTAATTGCTTTATTCATAGCATCTATATTTAATTTTCCTCTTGGAAAGAAGTACTTGTATGTTCGAAACTTGCAATTAAATCTAGCAGAGAAATCATTTGGTACTGGACACCATGCAATACATCTTATATTTGAAGGTAACAGCCTATTTAACATCTTGCAATATGGTAGTTCTTCCTCTAATTTATGCTGATCTTCGAGTTTTAATTTGCTTCTTACATCTAAAGAAATGACTTGTGAAAAAGAACTAACACCTTTGTCAGTTCTACCACATCGATGATAATTTGAAGTTTCTCGTGACTGTATACAACAGCTCTTTATCAGTGCTGTGAATAGATGATGTTCTATAGTATTATCAATGTTTTCTTGTACAACAAATCCGCTGTAATCCCATCCCAGATAATAAAATTTTAAAAGAATATGTCGCTTAGTACAATTTTCAAAATTAAATGGTTTTTTCGATTTACACACAATATTTCCATCTTTGGATTTTCCATTTAATTTATTAATAATTGTTTTCAATTGTTTGTTACTTTCCTCCAACAGCATTATTTTCTGTATCAATTCTGACTTATCAAGTAACTCTAAATCTTTTGTTAACTTTATTTTTTGAGTTTTTTCTTCATCTTTTTCTTCGTACATATTTGACATATTTGTTAATATATAAAATTATAATCCTCAATAATAAAATATGTGAAAATTCATATATTTGCTGTAGTTTTTGTGATAACTATTTATGTATTTACTAAAACATTAACCATACTCTGAGTTTGTTTATTATCAATGCTGGTGTTGTAGATTTTCGAAATAAAGTTAAAAATATACTACGTACATGTGTATATTTATCGATGTATCATATGCATATAAACAATCATTTTTAGAAAATGTTATCATAACCTTCAAATAAGAGGTGTTTAACAATATAAAGAAATATCATTTCAAACAGAAAATCATTGAAGCACTTTCTTAGTAATATATTTCAAATTACATTTAATAGTTTTTAATTTGAAACAACTTGTAAGTTTTAAAAACACAAAAAATAGTTTTTTTTACGAGGTTAGAAACTGTTGTAGTGTGATCTACCTTCATTGTCGCCCCCTATTATCACTCTGTCATCAGCGCCACATTGCGGTACTCAGAGTGAACTACATAGAGAATTAAGTATTTGTGATAAAAGCGAAATCCTTTTTAAAATATTTTTGAAATATTTCTATTTATGAAATTATTTTTTTAAAATAAAGAATTTTCACAATAGTGTTACAAATTTGGAAAGTATATGTTCAATTCTTTAAAATACAATTATTAAATATTAATATTTAATTAAAAATTCTCTGAAATATTTAATACAAATTAATGACAGTGATTATACATGTATGTACATACATAACTTGAATAATGAATATAAATTTTAATTATCATAATTAGTTGTATAATTCAATGAATAGTTGAACTAACTATTAACTTCGTAGAAACATTGCTATAATTACACGTAGTTTTGATATAACATTTTAAAAACACGACAAATAAAATTGTTGGACTACATTTCAATAATTATAATATTATTTGTTAATTGTTTTCAGTTTTAATCATTTTTCACAGTACGTATCGTATAAAGACACATTTTCAAAGCCTAAATACAAATTAACATTTCTACAAAATCTTATCATTAACAAATATATACGTTATTCATTTATATTATATTATTTAAATAACTGCAAAATATTTGAAAGTACTTCCAATGTACATTTTCAATATTATAATAAATTAAAACTACATGTACAAAATAAATGGTTTGTTTAAATGTAATAGGTATTTTTGAAACCTACAATCTATATAAAAAATAAAGTGATAACGGACAAAATAAATACAAAATTTTATTTTCTCTGTGACACACTCTTCAGAAAAATTTTATAGAATTGAAGTGTCGACAGAGTTTGTAATGTCCTTCATTTATTGGTTCAAAATTTATTTATTCCTATAAATAATATATCTCAAATGTAGTATTTGTGATAACACCAATATTAAAAATAAAAATATGAAAATATGTTGAAGTACATTACAATAATTTACTAAAGAGGTAGGATCATATAAATCAGATTTTCAAATGACATTGAAAACACATATTCGTAGATATAAGAATGCTAACTGTATCACTAACTCATCAACATTTTTAAAGCACCCTACAAAATGTTACTTCTCAAAGGTTTCTTTATTTACATAAATGAAATACGTAAATTTATATATTGTAATTGATCATCGATTTTTCGAGGGTTACCGGACAATTGATTTCACGACCGATCATAAATCTTTGCGGACCGTTCCGCTATCGATTGTAATTGGTTGTGACTCCGGTTGTCGGCTTGGACCGGAAATAGACCCTGTAACCGGAGAATTCATTTATGGAAATATGGTGGTGACCGAATGCGTCCTATTTTTAACTCCGTCGTCGAAAGAGGATCTCCTTTCAGTTTCCTATTTCCCATTCCTCCAATATCCTCTCTCCCATTGATCTGCTCGGTGCACTTTTTCAGCTGAACGCTGAAATAAAATTGATTAAAATTTAATAAATTTCCAAATTTGCCCCATTTGGCGAGTTTCAAGATTGCATAAATCCGAGTATACTTAACCATTACGCGTAACTCGTTTTCTCTGCCTGCAAAACTCACCTATGTCCTTGAGAACATTCTGATTATTTACCATATAAAATCTTAATAGAGTACGAACCATCTTTTTCTCCTAAATTGTACTATTTTAAGAACGAAGAGTGAAAATAATTGCGTAACGCAAAGATTAAATATAAGAGTAACTTACCTACGTAACAAGATCAAAACATCTGGCGCGCAGCACACGCTTTCTTACTTACTCGTGAAAAACTACCGCAGACCCTGGAACTTTACATAATATTTGGAGACTCGTCATTTCTACACGTATTGCTTATAAATGGTACTGTTAATCGTTATCCGCTGAAAATCATGTAGAGAACACTTTTCCCCCGTATTTCACTCCTACCAGCGCATCTCTGACATCTGCAAGAAGAAAATCTCTAGTTCATGAGTCCCCAGGCTTGGCGGGAGAGGGAGTCAAGGCCTGGGAACGCGTTGAAATACTTCGCCGATTTAAATCAAGCTGGCGACCACATGGTAGTCACGGCAGGTCAGTAAATAGAGAACACAAGAGTCCACATGGACGTAGAAAGATGTTCGCGCCATGTTACTGAATACGTGGAACAGGGTCTATTTCTGGCCCGTAGCTGCCAGTCCCGGACCTAACCCCGTTAATGCAATCCTTTTGTACCGCGATAATCTCGGAAATACATTTTCCTGGGACTTCCGAATGTGACCAATGGTGGCGTCATCACTTTTCTCGTCAACAAAGTTCGCGGGAACGCGAAATTTCAACGAAAATTTCATTTCGCAACATTCAACGCACGATCGCCCCGTCGGCCATTGCAAAATCTTCGTGCTTCCCGTTCGAACAACAATGCCGTCGATCGTTTTATCAGGCGTCGAATAAACTTCGCGGGAAATAACAAGCTCCAACCTTCGCTCCTACTCGATGATACACCTGGGCGCAGCTCCATACTTCTTTACATTCCATACGTCACATTCACTATGGGAAGTAAGGAAGCACGGAACAGTTGCCCGGCTCAGGAAGTATAATATCTTCGATGACGACGACGACGACGACGATGGCGGCTGATCACTGTCCAACGAAGATCGAACCCTTACCCCATCACATAGCCGATGGTACCTGTCTCATGGTCCGACTGTGCAATTATGTAATCCACTGATCCGCGAGACTCGAGAAAACATTTGAACAGCCGGTAGAGGTAGGCTTCACCGTTCGCCAGGTACCTGAATAATTCACTTCCCATTGTACTCGAATACGGGTGTAACGCGTGTCCCGGCCGACCAATTATTGTTGGACCTTCGAGGCAGGCTAAGTCCTTCGAGGGGTCGATGATTTTCGATCGCGAAATGCAATGATCAAAGACTGAGGAAGAGTGAGCAGCGCGAGCTAGGAAGTTCTAGCGAATCCTCCTAACCGGCTGGCTGCTTCAAACTGAATGCTACGAAAGCTTTGAGCACGCTTGCTTCAACGAGCCCTCTAAAAATGGCCGCACAGATCCCATTGGCCTCTCCATGTCGTGGCCGACACCCCCCGGCACATGTAAGCTTACACTTGAGACTACCACGAGGCTTGCTTGCTCCCTCGTAGCGCATCGCGCCAAATTTGTCTTTACCCGAAAATAGTCAGTCCCACGGCTGCCACCACATGGCGACTATTCCTGGTCCAGACTCGAGTGATAACTTACCCAGGCCTCTGTCTCGTTCCACCTCCACCTCTTGCCCCCCTGAGCTGCTTCCTCCCCTCGTGGCCCAGCGCCTTCTTCTTTTCTCCGGTCGCGATGCCGTACAAAGACGTACAGTTCCTCGCCCCGTACGTTACGGCGTCGTTAACCGGGGAACCCAAGCAAGATTTGATAGAATGACGTTCAGCCCTTCGCTATTGCGAGTAGAGTTTTTCCGCATGAAATTGTCGCTTCTGCGAGAATTATTGCTGGTTCGGGTCCAACGATGGTTTCATCGGTAAATTTTGAAACAATTAACACTTTGAATGCTATGGAGTCACCGGTGACTCCCAACCAAATCGAATTACTATTGTTCAATCAATTAAATGATGATCATTTGAAGACATTTCTATATTGTAAATAATGCTGCCTAATGCGATGAGATTCAGCTAGATGAACGTGCAATAATAATAATACAATTCCATCAAATGATTTAATATTGTATTTTTTAAAACTCGGCATTCAACGTGTTGAGTGTAAAGTTGTTACGTGACTCTTATTCGTTTAGGCTTGCTATCTGTAGTTTCACTGATTTTATATTACATATTTCTCTAAATTTTGAAATAAAGATTGAAGAAAAAAGTGTGACTGTGTGAAATATTAACATATTTCGACTATATACTACGTTTTTTATTTATTAATATTATGCTTATTTGCAGTATTATAAATTCAGTTATTTAAGAAACATATAAGAATGTCAACAAGTAAAATACATAATCTTTCTTTGATTTTACAATAAATCATAGATCATATATTTAAGAATTATTATTAAACATTTTTCTGCATTTTACATTCATGTGTTACTGTGTTTAAAGTTCTGAATATCAAAATATATAAAAATAGTATATAATATATTATGATATAAGACAATATTTACGCAATATCATTATATAATATAATATTTGGTATTCATTTGAGAGATATATGTAACCTTCTGATGCAAGATTAACATGTGCGACCGTCTTATATCATGATCGATTACGTCAATTGCTACGTACGAAAGGTAATCAATGTGCTTGCTCTATCCTTCCACGTATCCAGCATTATTTATGTACAATGATATTTTAAGTTGAATATTTGGCAACCACTTCTGGCGGAAGAACGAAACACTGCATTCCACGCTTATCATCTCATCTGCAGTTTCATACTCGAAATAACACGCTAACGTTCGAAAACTCGTTCAGATGCTCTTAATATAGACGAAAAGGTATATAAATTTATCAATCAATGGTACCACAAGTATTATTGATAGAAAAAAATAATGTTAAATTAATATGAAAGGAACGGATTTAAAAGTTGATTAATTAAATTTATTCCATTAGAAAATTCAAGTGAGATTATTCAACCTTCCAAGCTTAAATTTTAAATTAATGTTTAAAACGTATCTTTCCCATTATAAAATTATTTCTATACAATAGTTAAGGAAAACTTTTTTTGTAATTAACCTGCTCTGTAGATATAAAATTTAAAAATATCTGCAGTTCTTACTTCATTATTTTACATATACGTTTTTATGTAAAAAAAATACATAAAACTGGCTTTGATTATTAGAAATTTTGAGTGCGCGCGCGTGTGCGTGTGTGTGTAATCAGATGTAACCATAAAGCTAATAATATTAACACGACAGGATATGCCAATTGATACAAAAAGTAATATCTAACGTTGCCAATGCTCGCGGAAATATAGTAATCTTATTATAATTCGCGGATAATAGTAAAATTGATTTTCGTCCGGTTCGAACGCGGAATTATTTCAGCGAAAACGCCACCGCGTGAAATTTGTGCGACACCGATCCCAATCTCGGGGGATAATAATTGTTCTCCGTTGTAAATTCAAGCGACTCGAGATTTACGTGAACAGTGAAAAATTAAGGGTTGGGCGATGCATAAATTACCAGCAGCTCGCGACGCAGTAAAAGTGTCAAACGACGCTATTAATCCTTAATGTCTTTTATACGCGACATTTTTCCGCGTCAGGTTAAGGAAATTCCGTTCCGTAAACAAGCCGCGTAACGTAGTCCCTCAAAATAACTAAATTGATCCTATTAAACTCCCTTAAACTACAACTTTATGGCCCGTGTCGCGAACACCTAATGAAACGTGTATCTCAAACTGATAATAAAACGGGCTACCTAAAAAGAATATAGTTTTTCTGGAGAATAGAATGTAATTCGTGTAAAATTCTTTCTTCCTTCTTTCACTTGATTCTCATTTATTTGTAATTTATTGCGGAATAACGATGAACAATATAAAGGTGCAAGAAAAGGAGGTAGGTTATCAAAAATCCTAAGAGATTGGCCAAATAATGCTAAACTAAGAAGAATACAGTTTTGGCGAAAAATGGAACGTAATTCATGTAAAAGTCTGTCTTCCTTCTTTTATTTAATCCTCATTTATTCGTAATTTATTACAAAATAACGATGAATAATATAAAGAAACAAGAAAAGAAGGTAGATTATCAAAAGCCGTGAAAGATTGCACAAATGATACTGATTTAAAAAGGATCATATGGTACGTATTAAAGATAAGATAACCGACGAAGTATAATCCAATTTATACAGGGTGACTCGCAGTTGACTGACTCATTTCAAATGGTTACAGATAATATATGGAAACAGGGAAAACTAAGCGGAACCATCTATAGATACTTCCAAAGATACCATTTATTATTCATAGATTACATGCTTTTCTTCAAAAAAATCACATCAGTCAAATGGTCTTAGTTTACATCAATGCACTGCTGCAAGGGTGTCTGGAAGTTGCTGTATACACTCTTCCGTAGTTCCTCTTCAATAACCTCAACCTCGTTAACAATGACTTGTTTAACTCCTTGATCTACAATATCGTGTCAGACTCGCAAAAAAAATTTTAAACTGAATTTGACGAATTTAAGTGTTATTTATTTTTTTTTATTTAAATTAAATATTAATTTTCTATTGTCAATCGTTATCGTTTAGAACAAACGTAGACATAGAATAAGCATCAGAATTTTTTCTTTTCCTAATAAATTATTAACGATAAAATAGTTGTATCGATCATCGTTAAGAAATGAATCATAGGTCAAGTGGTTAACACTAGATTAACAGACGATTATTCTACACTTTATTCTATTGTTTCCAGAAAATTACGTGTTTGTTTATATAGATCACGAGAATTATAGCTTCAAAACCAATATATTATAATGTGTATTCGCATAATTGCACGAATCAGAATCAACTTAAATTGTTCGTAAATAATGTTTAAAAAATTTAATATCCGCCAAATTAACAGGTTCTGCCAATTTTTCAAAATGAGAAAAAGAAGATTTTTATTGACACACATAAATAGTGCGTTCTTGATACTTTTTTGCGCACAGTTTATAAGTTCAGTTCATACGTGTGAAAGTTTCTTCTCAGATTTTAATTTAAAGATTTACTAATTTCTTAGAATAAAAAACAGGAAGATCTTTAGTGACAAATTTGTAGAACTTATGCCTTTTTAATTTATATTAAGTGACCGATATTATTATTAATGCATTTTTATATACACATGTGTAGAGGGCTGCAAGTAATACCTTTAAATCTACTCATTCACAACACTATAATATTTAAAAACTGACCTTGCATCATTTATCAATTTACTGCTCATTGAAAAGTATACATTTTATTAACCCTTTATTCTATGATTTCTTTCACTTTCATTGTTTTGTGCTTGACAAAACTACTTTATCGTTAATAATTTAATCGAAAGAGAATAGAATTTGATTCTTATTTTATATCTACGTTTACTTTAAGTATTAACAATCGATAGCAGGCAAGTAACATTTCATTTATATGAAAAATGGATAAATAATATTTAGATTTGTTGAATTCGGTGGAAAATTTTCATTATGAGTCTCACTGGATATTATAGGAAAAAGGGTTAAATTTAGCGTCAAAGTCGAGAAGAAAGGAAGAAAGTGTTGTATGAGAACATAAAAACAAAAGATTAAATGTGAATTTAAAAAACGTAAGAGTACAGTAAAAACGTATAACCTGACAGCTCGTAAAACAGGGTTTTTCAGGAACTCCAAGAGAAAAGAATGGGTACGCTAAGGTCTGGTAACCGAGCAGGTCAAGCGATGTAACTGAATCCAGACATGACAGTCTTTCGAACTAGAATTCACAATTGCGATTCACTATTAGAAATGGCATCTTCTTCTCAAACATTCCCACTCCCGCTACCTACGACAAGCTATAGCCTATATAATTATATCATTATAATAATAGCACAATATTCGCATTTGAAACGTGTTAGTCTGTTCCACACTACATTGTATTAATCGTAATTATAATCGTAAGTACCATAGATATTGCATA